TGAGTGTGACTGCTCGCACAGCACACCACGGACCTTGCTTTGCACATGGGGGTCCTGAGCACTGAGACAGCCCCTGGTCTCTGCTCTCATCCCCAGACACGGTCCTGGATGCAGAGGGATGCCCCACCTGGGGGCCTCGCCTCGTCCAGTGATGCCATCAGGTCATGATGATGGCAGATGCTATGATGACTTTCCGTGCACAGTTAATCATCAGCAAAGTACTATATATAAATCTCAATTAGAGGTATAGGAAAATAAAATAATTTGAGCATATGCAAATTTGAGATAATCCCTGTGTGCTGACCGTAGTACGGTAAAAAATCTGCCCGAGGTGAAACAGACAGATGAGACTCTAAATTCCCCGTGTAAAATGGTAACTTCCTTGTGACCGGAAATGTAAATGCAGCCTTGCAAGCTACGTGTGGGTAATGACCACACAGGTCATCCTGGCCAGTACCACAGTGAGAGGTGACAAAAGGAACAGAAATGGAGAACACTCTGCATTTCTGATGGTCTTCCTTTAATTATGTAAACCAGACAGAATGAGGCAAACGATGTTGTTTTCTAGATGAGGTAGTACGACTGGAAGAGCTGAGTCCTGAGACAGAGCAATCGTAGTTCACTGAGTCCTTGATTTCCTTGTAGGACAGAATCAAATCTATTCTTCCCTTTAAATACAGCTCGCCAATGTAAATTCCATCACCTGAAAGCAACTGTCCAGTCTCTCCCTCGCTGTGGGGACCCCACATCGCCTTGGACCCCCTTCTAATCTCTTGTCCAAACCACAGCGGGGATGACCCTTTCAACACACAAATCTGATCATGAAATGTTCCTGCTTACAACCCAGGACAGGCGGCCAGGCACGGTGGTGCACACCTGTAATCCCAGCTATGTGGGAGCTGGAGGTTAAAGCATGAGACCTGAAAAATAAACTGAAGGCAAAAGGATTGGGAGAGTGTCTCAAGTGGCAAAGTGCCTGCCTAGCAAGTGTGAGCTCCTGAGTTCAATCCCTAGTTACCACCAAAACAAAGCAAATCACCCAACTAAACAAAACCCAGGATAGATGGCCCACCAGGCCCCACTTACCCTAGCATCTACCCAGTGAATAGTACCTACCTCTGACTGGTAAGGGCAGGCCCGCATGCTGGGGTTTGTGGCCACTCCTGGTTTTCTCCTTTTGGCTAAATTCCACTGGCCCCCACCCTCCCCACTCATCAGCTCCTTCCTGTGCTGGTTCCAACATGTGCGGGGCTCTCTGAGCAGAAACCTGCCTTGCCACAGTCAGTGCCCATCCCAGGCGGCTGCCCCTCGCCTCGCCAGTGTCGCATTTAACCACACCTAAGCTTCAGCAACCGCTGAACGTTCCCATCAGGTCTAGGGGGGGCAGGAAGTCAGGTGGCAGAGGGGGAGTGTGCTCAGGTGCTGACCCAGTTGGATCGGGGGGGACGAGGGTCACAGCAATTTAGAAGAGCACAGTTTGGCTAAAGAAGGTTATTTTCAATAAAATTACTCCCAAACTGACTACGCTGTGTGCGGGTTAATGACACAGAATAGAATGATAAAGGGCAAGGAGTTACAGTTGTAATTGCTGAGACAATGGTGTTTCCAGGCTCTGTGTATTCATGAGCTTATTCAGTCTCTTCCACATGAGGACAACTCTGCAAGCAGTGTCCTGGGATTGTGGATCAGAGGGAGGAGGAGGAAGAAGAGGGAAGGGTCACACGTGGCTCAGTTTCCTCTCCTTGACCCTTGGGGAGGGGAGGCTTTGGGTCAGCTATTCACCACACCACACCTGCCAAGTGTTAGGTGCTGGACACAGAGTAATACAGCAAAGCGTTCTACCCAGTGGGATCAACAGACAAACACAAGGAAACCAATCCGGGCATGATGGTATACTCAGGAGGCAGAGACAGGAGGATTGCAAGTTCAAGGCCAGCCCATGCAAAGTTAGGGAGACCTTATCTCAAGGAAAATCCGGAAGGACTGGGGGGTGTGGCTCAAGTGGTAGAGCACTTGCCTAGCAGACAGAAGGTGCTGGGTTCAATCCTTAGGAATGCCCACTAAAGCAAACCAAGCCAACCCCCCAAGAAGATGTGCAGAGAACCAGGACGAGCAGGTATGGTACCATGCCAGGTCCCACCTCTTCCTGGGGCCAGCTTCCCTGCTCTTCCCTGGCTCTTGGAGCTTAGCCATGTGGCACATAGCTGAAATACCTGTCGGCTTCCTCCAGCTCTCTGAGATAACGTGAGCTGTTGTCTTTTGCAATTACAATTCAACACATCCACGAGTGCTTCTGGATTCCACTGGACTGGAGCCTGAAGCTGCAGACAGTTAAGCCACCCCAACCCTGCCCAACCAGGGTGGCTGTCAGTAAATGCAGAGCTACGGACCAGGCCCTTCCTGTAAACCTCAGCCACAGGATTACTTCATCTGGGCAACCGTCAGACGTCAAAACACAGGTAGAACACTCTGAGCACCAGCTTTGCTTTTTAAGTAACTTGTTAGAGCTGTCAGGCCACTGCATTTGTGTGAAATATGGGGGAGGTGGAGGGTAAAAGTGATCTACATAGATCAGGTGTGGTGGCTCACGCCTATAATCCCAGCGACACAGGAGGCAAAGATAGGAGGATTGTGCTTCAGGCCAGCTTGGATAAAAAGTGTGAGACCCAAATAACTAAAAGCAAAAAGGGCTGGGGACAGGGCCAAGTGGTAGTGTCTGTTTAGTTCTGAGTTCAAACCCCATTCTGAAAAAAAAAGGTGACTTATATGGAATGTAGGTGTATTTTGATTGATTTTATTATTATAGAAAACACTAAATTGTATTTATTCTCACCATCTCAAGTTTAAATTGTGAACTTGAACTCTCTAGCTCCAAATGCCAATTATGAAAATCACCAAAATAGGAAAAATGCTCATCATATAATATTAAGTGAACAAAGCAGAATATTTATTCCCATGTTATGATCAAAATTTTATAAAATTTTTGTACATATACAAATAAGGCCTATGCAGGCAAAGATAGACTTAGATGAGAAAAACTGTCTCTTTGTATTCTGTGGGAAATTAAGACAGAAAATAATTGCAGGAAAAGAAATCTATTAAGCTGAGCAATGGTCTTCCAGTTGGAAAACTTCCCTAGGGGAAAACTCCTGGTACAAATTTGACTTTTAAAAAAGGAGTGCAGATTATTTAGAAAACAGCAGCTAAAGGCCCCCTAGGTCTTTGGTAAAGGCAAAGTAAGCCACCGACGTGACAGACACTGAGTTCTCCGGTAGAACACACTGCTCGCTCATGGAATCCGCTCTGTGACGGGCCACAGGAGCTGCTGGGAGCACAATGGCACAGAAACCTCCCGAGCTGGAGGAACCACAGAAAACCTACAGAATGCACACTCTGGAAACCGCAATATCCATCAAAGCCTTGGCTGTACTTTCCCTGTAAATTCTTCATGCCTTGAGTCACAGTGCAGACAGAAAGTTCTCAGACACTGCCTTATGTGTAAGAAGGTGCTTGTGGTGCCCCCAAGTGCTGGTACCCGAAGAGCCATGCACGCTGAACACTGAATGACCCACTTACAGCAAAGGGGCCTCTTTGTAGGCCTTGGTCAGAGCCTTCAGGAAACCCTAGTCAGATACAAACTCTTGAAGAAAATCATACCGCCAGCATTTAGAAACAAAGAGCTGGATAAGCTCCCAAGACAACAGAAAGTTGACACGAGAAAACCATTCTCCAATACTAGGCTATTCCTCCACCCTTATGCAGATGAAGGAAGGAATATGAAGACCCCATAACAAGCCTATGGCAACAAGACTCCGATCTCCTCCATCACCTGCCCAAAGTCCTTTCTCCAACCCGTCTGATGCAGCATCTGTTGAGCCCAGAGCCAACAGGGAGCAGCAAAGGCCATGGTGGACTTGGAATGCAAACACCACACAGGTACAAAAGGGGACCTGCTTTTGCTTTGCCTGTTAAGGCAGCTCTGGTAATACGGCTGGTGATAGAATGACTAATAAGAAGCAACATGGCACTCCAGCAAGTGGGGAAGGGAAGGCACTGCACCTTTAGCTTTCTTGTTATCTGAGTCTCCTAATTTTTTGCTCGAGTCTCTTCAGGACTGAGCTGGGATCCCTGTGATCACAGCCTTCATTCCCTGTAGGTTCCAAGTCACCTGGAGCAGAGGAATGACAAGCAGGACCAGTTCTGAAATTGGTCCCGTTTTTCTAAAATCAAGACTTGGAAGCTATCATCTCTCACAATTCTTAACAAGCATTGCTAAAATTTTAATTTACTTTTTGGTTTTTTTTAATGAAGAAACAACTGAGTCCGATGCAGTGACTCATGTCTGTAATCCTAGCTACGGGAAGGTGGAGACTGGGAGGAACATGGTTTGAGGCCAGACTGCGCATCTCAATCAATAAGCTGGGTGTGGTGGAGCACATCTGTAATCCCAGCTATGCAGGAGGCATAGGTAGGAGGATCAACATCAGAGGTTGGCCTGGGTAAAAAGTGTGAGACCCTGTATGAAACATAACCTAAAGTAAAAATGGCTGGTGAAGTGGCTCAAGTGGTAGAACACCTGCCTAGCAAGTGTAAGGCCCTGAGTTCAAACCTCAGTACCACCAAAAAGAAGAGGAAGAAGAAACAATCCACATGCTTAGTTACAGCTGAAGGGACTATCAGTTTTCACCCTTAAGTGAAACACTTGTCACTAATCCTGGATGACCCAGAAGGGGAGGGGAGCACTCCAGCTGTCCCACCAGTACCACTCCTGAAGTCCTGCAGGTGGCATCGGAGGCCTGGAGACCTTTGTAGGTCACACACACGTGGTTCGATACCTCCTCTGCTACACTGCACCGCAGCTCCAGCGATCTGCTTCTGTGTTTACAAGGGCCTCCACAGGACTTCCCATGGCTATGCGGACAGACAATGAGCTTCCACACCTGTCCGAAAAGTGTAGGTTCTCAGTGTGCTACCAGCGGGCAGGCAGTGCCCAGGCTTACCTGGAACGTCGATCAGTCTCTTGTAGACGTTCAAAAAGGCTGCCTCGGCCTCCTTGCTTCTTTTACTCAGTGCATCAATCTGAAAGAAGACAGAAAATAGAAGAAAAGGGCGGGCTCAGAATTTGTCAAGAGGTTATTTAAAAATCACCAGCTACCTAGTGAGTCCCACAAAACATGGAAGTGTGAGTCTCCACCTGGACACTTCAACTGTGCCTTCAAGCTCCTGGAGCAAGTGTCTGCCCACAGGCAAGAGGAGACAGTCTGTGTTCTGGGGCCTGAGGGTATCAAGGCAGAGACAGGGCTGAGAGGGTGAAGCTGTCCACCTGATGCAGCCCGATGCAGTGACTCATGCCTTCAATCCAAGCTAACTGGGGAGGTGGAGATTGGGAGGATCATGGTTTGCCAGAAGGGGCCACAGTGTGAGGCGCCCTTCTGGTCTGTTTCCTCCTCATCTAATATTATCTGAGAGCTGAGCATTTTGCTAGGTGGGGCAGGGAGAGGCAGTGACGACTCTGGAAGCTCAGCATTGGGTGGGTAAACAGGTATGTCATGGAGCTGTTAAATCCCAGTTGGGAGTGTGCCGGGAAGGAAAGCAGGGGAAGCCGGGAGCTTTGAGCACAGAGTGCAGGAGCAGGTGGCCAGGTGCGACACCTCAAGTAAGGGAAGAGCACGCCTGGAACTAAGTTCTCCAATCGGGTGCAGACATCCTTTTTGAGGATTTCACGAAAGCCCAAGCCACCATTGGAGAGGTTGTAAGGATGCAGGGACCACACCAACAAGCCACACAGCACCATTGGACGGAGTAACGCATGGGATCTGGGGCTCAGCAGAGAAGGAATACACACAGGAGTTGTGGGCTAGGGGATGAACAGGCAGACTGGGGTCACATACAAAAAGGCTGTTTGGCGCATGTGGGGACGAGGATAAGTATCATCTGGGCATGGGTCAGAGTGGGGCACAGGCAGGGACAGAAGGAGCACTGGGCCCTTGTTGCCCTTGTTCCAGAGGACACGGTGAGGGTCACGACATAGTGCTGATAAAGGCAGGTGACAACTGCTGGTTTTCTATCCGTGGCTAGGCAAGGCTCTGTGATGGTCGGTGAAGACGAGTGTGTTCATGAAGTGACCCAGCTGAGCTGGTTCCCTATTCATGGAAGAATGGTCACCACACCAACCCTGCCCGAGCATGGGTCCCAGTCCGTGCACGGCCTGGGCACATGTTTAGCGTCCAGACCAAAGCGGGCTCCTTCCGCTGAAGCTTGAAGATTTGCATGTGTCAATTCACACTGGTTCAGGAAGAGGACGTTAAATTAACACCGCTCTGCCTCCTCAAAAGTATGCCTCGCCTCGAGGTTTATTAAGAGCAGAGGATGTGGTTTAATTACAAGGTCTCTCACTTGAGCCAACCTGCAATTTGTTCAGGGGCTTCCTGAGTAGTGGGCTCAGGGGACTCCAAGAAAACAACGCAAGCACAGCCGCTTCCAGCAACAGTGCTCCCAAAATCCCAAACTGAAGTCATTTGCTTAAGAACTCAGACCCAATAAGACAAAACTGTGTTTCAGGTGTTGGGAGCACGGTCAGAATAATCATGGAATATTAATATACGGAATCTCTATTTATTTTTTACAGTAATATTCTCTTTGGTTTACTGGCATCTCATGCTCGTTGCATGAATTAGAAAAATATCAGTGGCTACGCTGTAATCCCAGTTATCAGGAGACAGCAATCAGGAAGACTGAGGTTCAAAACTAGCCAGGCAAATTGTTAGAGAGGCCCTTTTCCAAAAAACCTTCAACAAAAAGGGTGGTGGAGTGGCTCAAGGTGTAGGCCCTGAGTTCAAACCCAATACTGTAAAAAACTTAAAAAAAATGAATGAAAAACTCTATATCATAGACTTAGGTGGCTGAGGCAGGAGATCCTGAGTTCCAGGCCGCTGGGCTGTAAACAGTAAGATCTGTCTAAACAACAACAACAAAATATACAATTGGAAAGAATGTAGCATACAGGAAAACAGGAATGAAAGACTAATCATGGTCAACCAGCGGTGGAGTGGGAAAATGGGGGTGGAGGGTGTGGGAGGATGGGATTCCTTTGGGGTGATGAAAATGTCCTACAATCTGTTTGTAATGATGGATGCACAACTTTTTGAACTGCAGATTTAAACAGGTGAAATGTTGTCAATAAAGCCATTGATGTGTATCTGAATCAAACATTTGTGAAAATTACTAGGGCTTTTTCATGTTATATCATTTTGGGTTTTTAAAGCATTGTATAAATTATTTGGAAGTGTCTAATAGCATTTTTTGGCTGTACTCAAGCACAGGTGTAGACCTTTGAACGTGCCCTTAAACTCCTGGCTTATTTTTCACCTCGATACCCAATGGGGGTTCATCAGTCTAGCTCAAGAGGGCCTACTTCCCAGGGATCTCTGACTAAGGGTCAAGATGGCTACCCTCCCCACACACACCAACAAGGTAAAGGATGTGCGCTGGGGGATCCAATGCTGTCCCTCATCTTGTCTGGTCAGCACACTAGGGACTGTTAGGGGTTGAACTGTGTCTCCGAAAAGATGTTGGAGCTTAACAACTCCCTTCCCCCATAGTCTTAATGTGACTTTAGCAGACATGAAGTCTTTGTGGGGGATCAGGTGAGGAACATTACTGCGGACCCTAGTCTGACTCTGGGTAGAGGCAGACACTACCAGGGAGGAACCACGATGCGGAGACCGAATGGTGTGATTGTGCCTCAAGCCAAGGTAACCAGAAGCAAACATCGGAGACCGTGAGAGGGGCTGCGATGGATTCTCCCTCTCTGCCACAGGTGGAAGCAACCCTGTTCAACCTTGAGACTATCGTTTTCTTGTGTATAGATGAACACTGTTAGCCAGTACCTGTAACCACAGCCCCAGGAATAACTCAGACCACAGATTCTGAACTCTGCCCCCCTCTCCACAAATACCAGGAAGTTCCAGTCCAATCCTGAGAAGCAAAGGCAGGCAAATCGAGCTTAATTAAACTCATGAGGCAATTGGCCTGTGATGTTTCTCTTGAAAGACATGCGAATCTTCACTCTGTGTGGTGGGCACTTCTCTGTGTGCTTCACTCTCTTGGCTCCTCCCCAGGACCCGCCTACACCCAGGACAGCCTTGGAGTCTGGGTTCCGGCTGTCTCTTTCTCCCAAACATTTTTGCTCTCACTTCTGACATCAAGAAGTTCTTGCTACAGCAATGACTTGTTTCTGAGCTTTGGGAGGGATAGGTACTCGCCATCCAGCAGAGGCAGCCAAAGTTGGCTGTCCAGACTGGACTGTTGGGTACTCTTCCCATACGCACAGCGGGCCGGGTTCTCCAGTGAAGCCTTGCAGAGTAGGGAGGGGAGACTGAACCCACTCTGGAAACTCGGCTGGTGACTATGATGCAGCTCCAGAGGTGACAGTCCCCACCTGGCCAGGTGCTGGGAGACTTAAATGAGCTAACTCGGGAAGTTCGCTGCAGTGCCATACCAGGAAACTCATTAAACATATGACCTTGGCCCTCCCCAGAGCGCTCGGCTTACCATTAAGCAATCACAACCCAGAACGCCACGCCTGATTGACTTTCATTTCAGAAGGAGACCTGGGAAAACGAGCCGCTACACTCATACTTGCATGCCTTGCCTATCTGCACAGCGTGGGGCCATGTAGGCACGGTAGTGGCCCTTTCAAACAGGGGAGATTGGGGTGGCATCTGAAAAGCAGAGGGTGGATTTAGGATCTGGGTTTTAGACATGTATCCAGGAGAAGGTTCTTGCTGTACTGTGTCACCCTCTGCTCCAAAGCCATAGGAGACTTCGGGAAGAGCAGAGGGGCAGCTGGGCTGTGACAGCAGAATGGGGCGGACTCCAAGACCTCATCACCTCGGCAGGAGGGTTAAACAACCTGTTCCCTGTTTTTCTGAGGGACAGCCTCTGTTGGAAGCTCAACTCCCGATCGCCTATCACTCAGCCACCCCGGTAAATCCTGTTTCCTCCCGCATACACGAGTAATTTCCACTCAGCTCTGGAAAGGCGCTCCTTGGATGCACCCTGAATCCTGGGGCTCAGGGAGAATACACCGCCCGCCTGTAGCCTCCCCCTCGGGGAACAAGATGGTCGAAGCCAAATCACGAAATACCCATGCTTCCCGGGACGTGCACGTAGGGCGGCGCTTCACGCAGTTATATCCTGTGGCTGAAAACAACCCCCACTGGCAACACTGTTTGTGTGGTCCAGGAACGTACCGTGACCTTGTGTAAAGAGCTTGGTGGTCCTAAGCCCGTGTTCTGTGTGCGTGAACGAATGAAGTCTGGGGTGCTTGTTGAGGCACCAGCTGCGCGTAGTGGCAAGGCCCTGGGGTTTCCCACTGCACTTGGCCTTGGATTTGAAGCGTACCACCTCTTCCTCAATGCTGCGCCCGACTTTTTTGGTTTTTTGGTGCGTATGGGGTTCTGAACTCCGGGCTATGGCTTTCTTAACAGGTTGGTTCACTATCTTGAGCCATGTCCCAGCCTTTTATTGCTTTAGTTACTCTTTGTTGGGTTTCCATTTATGGGGTGGGCTGGAACAGCACTACTTTTACATTCTCTGATAGGCTGGGATGGAAACAAGGCACCGGAATATGCTCCTTAGTATGGGTGAGATGAGGTTTGCTCAGTTTTTGCCGGGCGGGTTCGAAGCGATCTTCAGATGTCTGACCTTCAAGTGGTAGATTCTAGGAGTGAGCACTGTAGCCTCAGCACTGAGATTTGGTTTAACAGGACAACGCTCTAATCATAAAGTTGTAGGGAGATTGGCTTTGGGGTGTATATTGAACATCTTCACAACGAGCTAGTTTTAACGGCATGAGTACTGCGGGAACAACTATTGTATTAATGTCCATCACTTCTTGGGGAGGTGGGATGGTGGACTGGTGGAACCTGTGCCACGCACTCCCTGAAGGCTCCCTCTCAGAGAACAGCAGAGATGACGAGATCAAAGTCATATATCCGATGCTGCTACCATCCCTGGAACTCTGAAGATTCTTTATACAACCGTGCAACGTCTGTTGGGGTCAGCCGAAAGA